AGCCGCATTACTTTTTAGAACTGAAGAAATAATTCAATGCAAAATAATAAAAATAGGGAAAAATTTACATTTTGGGGTATGAAAATTATAAATGGTGCTTTTCCTCTGGATAGTGAAACTTTATCAAAGCTAAATATTAAAAAGTTGACCCAGGTAAAAATTGAAAAGTTGTCCTGGCTGTACAAATGTTATGTTCAGTTCCCAGAAAGGCCTGCCGGAAACACAAGGAAAGTTGGAATCCAGTATTTTTTTTTTCTTCTGCCCACTTACAGAGGATGTTGCCGTTTGCAGAGACCTTAAACAATCATTATGCTTGTTCTTCCAAGTGTGTTGTGTGTTGTTGCATCAGCAACCGGGGGAACTGGCTAAAACTGCAGAGCCCCAGGCCTCCTCCAAACCTCCTGAACCAGAATCTTCCGTGAACAAGTTCCCTTGTGATTTCCATGCACTGTCAAGTTTAAAGAATGCAGGTTTAGCTCATAGTTTCCAAAGACACGTTTTAAGAAAGTACAGGATTCATGTACTCCCTCGGGGCTGCAGGAACCTCTGTGAGCAGACACCTCCATCATAATTAGAGGAGCGATACTCTGGGTGATTCTCTTTGGGCTTCCAGGGAAAGTTTTATTAGGAAAGAAAGGTCTGTGGCTTTGAAATTCTTTCAAAGAATATCTGAAAACAATCAGTGATTGAGTTCTTATCATTTTCCAGATGATGAAACTGAGTAACAAAGACATGTGTCTTTGCCCAGTTTTTATGCTGGGAGGCCACCCCAAGCACTTTCTAGTCCCTCTCTATCCACTGAGGAAAGCAACACACAATAATGGAAAATCCAAACCAGCTACTTAACAAAGGTCTCCATGCAAGGTCATGAGTTCGATTCCCAGTACCGGAAAGAAAACCAAAGGTCTCCATGAACCATAGTTGACTTTTACCTTGGCGTTGAATTTCAAAGGTAGCACTTTTTTCTTTTGCACTCGTGGCTGTAACTTCCTTTCAAAAGCTCATCCAACCCAACAAAATGCACTGTCTGCATTCTGCAGTGGAAGAGAGGTCGCATGCTGTGGCCTTGTGTACACTGTGGCTGGGGGAACCCTACAGGTTTGTTTGTGGATATTTCAGCTAATTATCATGCCAACATCATTGAGGCAGATCTGGATGACTGCTCGATTAATAGACTAAAGGAGTAATTAGGGAGAATTCCCTCCACTACAGCCCACCCCAGTGCTGACATATCATTGTGAACATTTTCTTCTGAATATGATTAATGGCATAAATAATCATCAGAAATGAAATTAAAGATCACCCACTCATTACACCCTATAATGTTTTAAGGCATTACATCCCGAAGCTCTGTAATGAATTAACATTACAGTCTGGTTTGAATTTTGCAATTTTCAGCATACATCCTGCTCTGTTAGCAAGCGACCCTGTGGCCTCCATCAGTTTCTGTAACAATCTGAATTAGGCATTCTAAAAAGAACATGGGTTTGGAAACGCCTAAGACTCAAGAAAAAAGTTCAATGTATTCCCTTCCCTACAAGGGCAAATTGTATAAATGTGCAAGGTTGTGGCAGGGCCAGAATGATGTTCCTAGACCCTTTGTCCATTCCTTTCCTGGTCCAATGAGTAGATGGTTCACATTAAAACACCCACATTAAGGATTTTTCTGTGAGTACTAAATATTCATTCTGGTAAAGCCTGGTTGCTTATTATTTTTGTTTATACAGCTATCTCTGATCAGCTGCAGACAGACACCAAAAAGCAAATTCAGTTAGAACTAATTTATACAATTTTCCTTTAAATTTAGGAATTATAAAAATTAATAGAGTGAGGAAGGAGGAGCAGTGATTAGAACTGCAGTGTAGAGGGTTTGTTGCTTCTATTTTTAGTTCTGCTCTTTTCCCTGACTTTAAAGTCAATTATCTCAGGCAAGCAAGAATTAAGATCCTAGGATTTTAGAGGACAAATTTTTAGTCCTTTTTGCAGAAGAAGAAACAAACCTCAGAAAAAATCAAATGATTAATTCACAAGCACATAATTGTTTTGTGATATGAGATGACTTTGCCTATTTCTTTGTGAAAATATTCTACAAGGAAAACAGAATTTTGTTGAAGTTGTTACAATCTGCTTGGCACTTTTAGAGCTAAGATTGGGTCATCAAAGAACTGTAAGCAAATGTAAAATGGGGCCAACGTTTTAAAACTCCAGTTGCATGACATTTGTTAGGTTTCATTACAGGCTGAGTATCTCTTATCCAAATACTCAGGACCAGAAGTATTTCATAATCTTTTATTGTTTGTGGATTTTAGACTATTGCTTGTGCGTAATGATATATCTCAAAGGTAGAGCTGAACTCAAATGCAAAATTCATTTGATTTGGATGTATCTTATACATGTAGCCAGAGAGCGATTTTTTAAGTATTTTAAATAATTTTATTCATGAAGCAAAGTTACTTGGCGTGGAATTTTCTATTTGTGTATCAGATGAATCCTCAGAAGGTTTTAGGTTTTGATGTGCTTCAGATTTCAGATTTTCAGATTAAGGGTGTTCAATACCCTATGTAAGTTTTAAGATACTGTATTAGTATGGAAAAAGCCCTTTCTTTTACTCAGTAAAATGCTGTAGAAGTAAGTGTAAGCTTTTCTTTTTGCCTGAATAAAAAAAACTCTTGAATAATTTTGTGGTTGCATTATAACTATTATATTTTGTTCATTCTTGGAGGCATATATGGAGGCATATGTGTAACAGAGGTATATATGTGATATACTAAGCTAGTTTAGTCAAATTATGAAGAAGAGGTCCACATGTTTTAAATCCTATGGAGTTATTCATTTTTTTCTAAAATGATTAACAAAAAAAGAAAAATTATCTTTAAGGGCATGTAAATAAAATGAAAATAAGTCTGTGTTGTCTTAATAAAGGAAGCCTCACTGTTCAACATTTTAATGTTATTTTACAGATCTCTGTAAGTTCAAAGAGTACATGGTAAATCCTGCAGTCTTTTTATCTAAGATAAAATCATTAACTTAGTGATCCTGGCTTACTAACAAAATACTAAAAGTGATAATAATGGTGTATTTTGATACTGAAATAAAAATAAAACCATGTTCACAAACACTGGGGCATGCATAAAGTGCTGAGTTTTAAGAAATTCCTATCGTGGGCAAGGTTCACTTTGGAATTAGACGGTTTTTGTTTTAGTCTTGCCACTTTTTTAGCATCATGGGTTTGTGCAAAATGTAGATGATGAAATTACAGATATTAAAGGACATCCTGTGTAGGAGTCACTTATAGAAAGCAAAAAACACACAAAAGCCACAGTTAAGAGCTCAATTAAGCACAAATTTCACCAGCACCATTAACAGCATGCTCGTCATCCGCACTCGTGCCTAATGCAGCATCACCCACAGCACAGTCCTAAAGTGCCATGCCTGGAAATTACTCTTGTTCAGGGGGCAACACTGACTAGCTAGAGCGACCACTATTTGGGCCCAGGGAAGATGGAAATTTGAAGCAAAGGTTTAGTGATGCCGCTGCCTAGAGCGATTATGGCTTTGGAAAAGACCAGCTTTGAAGTCACAGAAAAGAGAGTAAGGGTGGAAGCAGTACACTGCAGCACATGGTCATCTCTCCTCCAAACTGGGGTGACCATGAGTTAGTTACACCACCCCTCTCTCTAGAGGCGCTTAGCGTGTGTCCGTTGACTGTGGTGTCAGTCCCACAATGGTGCGTTGTTTGGCTACATGACTCTCTCCTTACTTTTAATTTCTTCTTTTCCACAATAAGGATCAGTCAGTATACTTACCTCGTGTACTCAATCAGCTTATAAACTTAAAGTGTTCTAACTACACAATGTCATACAGGCAACAGTGCAGAGTATTATTAGTAGTAAGCAGAATGCAATGAACTAGATTGTTATTTTTCCAGAATGTACAGCAAATACCCATTCCAACTTGAACTGAAAATCTTCTGTACCCATTGGTCACTGATATTGGCACATCACTGGCAAGTCTGGCAAGATACCAAATGCCAGTATATATACACTGATATTTAACCTTTTTGCATTAAAACTTTTTAGATAGAAATAAATTTCCTTCAGTATTTATTACCTTATTTACCCCAAAATTGCAAGCACTTTGACAAATGGAGTAATCGTTTCTAGTCACGGTGGCAGTGAAATGTATTTTTAGTGTCTTCGGCTGCTGTAACTTAATAATTCATTTCAGCACGTCTGTTTGTAAATCACAGAAGATTTGTTTGGGAGATCAGTACTGGGGAGAGATGTCCTCTTTTTGTCAATACAAATAAGCAGTATTTCAGGACTAGTGTCTGCTATGCAATATAACTTCATAAGCTCAAGATTGTCCACATCTTCTGATGATGGACTATTTTCAGAGTATGACATCTTTAATCTTCAAGCACAAAAATTTGTAAGTGTCACACTTAGTTTAATAAATACTGTTATGATATTAAGTGATAGATAGCTTACTTAGCTTATTTTATTAGTCTACCACCTAACTAAAAGCGCATTTCTAGAAATTATGCAGAACTGAGCAGCCTTACAGTTCTGAGTGAATTAATAAATAAACAAAATGAAGTGACACATTGCATTGACTTCTAAAGATAAGAAAGTGTCAGTGACTACATGTGAAAGGCTTTATTTTTTAAATTATAGTATTTGTGATTACTTATATTTGAGTGCTTTTCAGACATAAAAGTGCATAAGGCATTAAATCTTGCACTCAGTTCTCGGGGGGCAGGTGTGGCAAAAGAGTTGTCTCCTGCCAGGAGAAGACAGTGCTATAGCGGAGATACAAGCACAGGGCTTCGGGGGCTTATGGAGGGGAATGTTTATTAATTCCAATTGTGGTGGTAGAAAGAGATCATTTAATATGTTGTTAAATTTAGTTCAGAAGTTAATGCAGAATAGTTGGCAAATATATTTTTTGAGGATAAGATCTCATCCTAATGCTCATTACTTTTGCATTTTCACTTTTAGAGACGCCCAAGCAGATGGCCTGCAATGAAGTTTCGAAGAGGTTCTGGACACCCTGCCTATGCTGAAGTTGAACCAGTTGGAGAGAAAGAAGGTTTTATTGTATCAGAGCAGTGCTAAAATTTCTAGGACAGAATAGCACCAGTACTGGCTTACAGGTGTTAAGACTAAACTTTTGCCTATATCTTTAAGACACACACACACACACACACACACACACACACACACACACACGAGCCCCAAGCTGCTGTAGCCTGAAGAAGACAAGATTTCTGGACAAGCCCAGCCCAGGAAGGGTAGAAGAAAAACTAAACCTTAAACAAGATGCCATTTACACTGAACATAGAATACTCTAGCGGGATGGCATCTGCAGTTCCCTCGGAACATCTCTTGTGGACTTACCAGAATGTGACAAGATTGCAGTGCTTTCTGGCTTAGGTGCAGGGTTGAAAAGGGATTGAGAAAAATAAATAATAATAAAGCTTTAGTTCACAGGGGATCTACAGCTTTGGTTCAAACGTTCTTATCTGATGTCTCAAAGATATCCGTGTTCCCAAGCGGGAACCCTTTTCCTCGAAAGAACGGTGATGAATGTTTCCTGTGTGCTGAGAAGCGTAGCTCATGTGGAGGCAAAACAAAACTCAAAACGAGAAACTTTTTGTCGTTTCCAAACAGAAGTGTGGCAAAAGGGTTTTGTTTTCCTGCTCTTGGTTCATCTATTCTGCCAAATTCATTACTTTATGGGCTGAATCTTTCCTCTGTACATGAAGTTCAAACTATGCCTGCCTCTTCCCGGGCAATGAATGCCTTTTCTATGAGCTGTGACATTTCCTGACTTTTAGCTAAGGATTGGGAAGCGGGGAGTAGTCAGTGAGGCTTTCCATTCCCCTGCCTCAGAATAAAAGCTCTGTATGGTTTTCAGAAGCATTGCTTCCATTTCCCCAGTGGGAAGTCCCATGAAGCCACAGTTGCTCTTGGCTGATGGAAACAAACGGAACTAATACAAAGAATTCCTTGATTATTTTTTGAGCCAAATAGTAAAGGATTTTCATATGGGGTTTTTCAAGTTTTTGCCATTTCAGTACGAAAAGCCCATTTCATTGACGATTCCTCTCTAAGAAGCCATCCAAGTCAGTGTATCCCTGGTGATAAAAGAATGAATGGACCCTGCTGAATCATACAGTGATTTTCTTTAAAGCACATAGTAGTTACATAAATCTCTCTATATATATAAATATATTTTTGTTTATAACTAACACAAGGCAGGCTCTTGTGACTCTAAGAGTGCATTTTGTCATCTAGACAAAACAAATGCAAGATGCATCTCTGCATTACTCCCATAGAGTTGTAAAATAATCCTTAATATTAGAATATTTTTATGTCACTTAGCAAAATGGTTAAATTCATTGCAATGCCATCATTTTCCTGCCTATTTGATCCACTCCTTAGTGCATATCAACCCCTTCCCTCCCTGTCAAAATGAAGTAGATGCAACAAGCTCCTTAGATGGAGCTGCCATTTGCCCCGTAACCACAACCCAGATTTTGAAAATTCCCCATGAGTGAAGAAAGGAAAGGCATTGTTTGAGGAGGAAAGTAGTTAATATGTGTACTAAGCTCCTAAAGTTTAAATTCAGGTACTATGTATACAATTTCATCAACATCTTGACCCATGGAACTTTTCTGTTCTGTGCCATATTGGTTCTTGTAAGACACAGTGTTCAACGTTTGCAGATTCAAGTCTCAAACTACAGTCGTGTCTCCAAAGTAACATTTTACTAACAGCTTGGCATCTGCACACAATGTCTGCATTGGACGGCATCGATCCACTAACAAAGCACCACACATGATCATCACAGGGGCCCGACATAAGCGAGTGCTGTTTTCTGTCAACATATATTTTGCTTTACATTTTTAAGTATCTGGTGAGAGTGGTAACCTTTCTTAACTGTTCAGTTAATGGCAAAAAAAAAAATAATTGAAAATCAAAGTGATTTAAGGTTGTAATGACAATCTCTCTGCCATAGCTACATTCAGTTTATATGAAATATCCCAACTTATTCTTTGGAGTAGTTTTGGTCAGATAGCAATAACCAAATGACTTGCCAATATAACTGGTGCAACTGGTATTCTAAATATACATAAGGAACATATAGACGACTTCCTCTTAGGATAAAATGATGCTTCTTTTGTGAGCTTTTGTGGTAGGTGTGGCTTCCAACAGCAGTTGACTGACAGTTATATAAATATCTTGCATCTATATCTGACTCCTTCCATATTTCAAATATTAACGTTATCTTTACACCCTTCGTAGCTTATCTTTCATGTTAAATTCAAAAGAACTGATAATTCTGTTCAGTGAATCAAGCCGAGTTACTCAATGAACCAAAGAACCAATTAACAGGAAAAAACTAGAAGTACAAAGGCTCATAGTGTGTGGAGAAACTGCCCAGGAGAATTCAAAATTAAAAGCAATGAGAAGTATCTGCTGTATGTGAGTCCTCTAAGTAACAAGGAGAAAAGTTTGCTAAATCACTTTCTTTCATGACAGTATCATTCTGTTTTTCACTCTACTTCTCATTTGCTGGAAAGGAAGGGTAAACACAGTTTCTGGAAATTTCATAATGGACATCACAGCTTTGAAATATGTATATGTAAATATGTATAGTATTAGAGAGAATGTATGTGCACATTACTCAATATGCCATAAACATAGAGAATAATAACAATCTAAAAATAAGAACAACAAAGGAACAAAACAAACTTACCTGGAGAAATCAGGTAAATGGTGCTATAAAGGAATTTAGTTGTTTCATCCTAATTTATAAAAAAATGATAATCAGCAATTAGATAAAGTTATTCAAAATCATGACAAATATCTGAAGCCAACTAGATGTCATTCATCATAATGATGGTTTGTTGTGAAGGGTTTGGACCTTAGGATATACTTACAAATACAAAATAAGTAATAAAGTACCTTTGACCACAATTATTATTTTGGCTGGAGATACCCAGGCTCATCTCTTACATGGATTATCTAGGGCTCTGTTATCCAACCTTGTACCCACTAGCCACATATAGGTAGTAATATTAAAATTAATTTAAATTAAATACAATTTAAGTAACCAATAGTCTCAAGTGGCTGATGACTGCCATCTTGGTTGAACAACACAAGACACTCTTGTCACTGCAGAAAATTCTTTTGGAATGTATTATCGAAATGTTTCTTTTAGTTCTCTGTCCTTAAGGAAAACAAGAGGAGAAAAAAGAGAGAACTCGGTAGCCCATATACATGCCCAAGCATTTGTTTATCTTAGAAAGACTGCGTAGCATAACAAAAAGAATATGAGCTGACAACATTTTGTGTCTTCACTATGTTATTTTGGAAAAATCACTTCAACCTCATTCAGTGTCAACTGCAATTTTGGAAAATTAAATATTTTTGTCTTATTTGCCTTGCCAGATTACTGTGCAGATTGACTAAATGTATAGCTGTATAGTCTTTTGAGGCCTTATATCAATGTAGTCCATATAAGCTCATCCTTTGGTCCGGTGGCATTGCAAATTTGCAATCAAAGGGAGAATAGTCCATAAATGAAAAAAGCAAAGATAATTCAGTACATTTCTTCAGCAAATGTCAAAGGAGAATTCGTTGAAACACATACACACAGGAGAATTGCTTTAATTCCTTTTTTGCCCATCTAAACATTTCTTCTAATATTACAGAGGAAATATAATGTCCCTAGTATCTATTGCTTGTAAAGCTAAAAGTTTTCTGGTATTCATTCTTGACTCAGACATTTTAACTCTATCATAAGAAATTAATATCTATGACTACTTGAAAAATAGATCCTGTTGATATATTTTCTCCCTCCTATGAAAAGTTCTTTTACTTTGTATTTCCTCAGGAACTTTCCTCTGGAAAGACTCTACAATATGCTCCACTAATTCCAAAAAATTTCCCTTGCTTTTACTTCCCTGTCCTCACCCTCAGTTCTAGCATCAGCATCTATATGCCAAAGTCATGGGAAGTCATTTCCCACAACCTGTGGTAGGGATAAGACCACCAAGGCTTGAAGAGATATAGTAATTCCTTAGTGTAAGAATGAGGTCTTGAACTCCATGCTCCTCGTTGCTCATTTTTACTCCAACTCTTACTGCCTACATCCTTTTGTCAGCAATTAAGACCAACCAACACAGTCCCTCTCCAAACTAACTCTGTTCACTCCGTGAATTATCTGCTCTAATCTGTCACAGGACACCCTATCATGCTGCTGTCTTAAGACTGCTGCTACCCCTGTAACCACCAGCAAATTTAAGTTCTAGCTACTGCAAGATCTTCACTTGGTTTGGCATGTTCCCTCCCCCACCTCCTTATCTGCGGCCCTCCAAGTTTGCACCACTGCTTATCCTTGCCATTTAAAATTTGCCTTTGTTTCACGTCTTCCCAAATGTACTTGAAAACTAATACGCTCATTCAATCACACTTTTGAGTAGTTCTTTAAGCCATTAGGACGTTATTGCCCTAAGAGGTTCTTGAGAGCAGTTACGGAGAGGTCAGTGGTATTACCTATTATACACTCACATTACCTTGTGTTTATAAAGCACTTTACATTTTACAGCGCACTTTGATCCATCCTCTTCTGTTCACTCAATGACTACTTCACTTAACTATGTACTGAGCACCTACTAGGACCAAGTTACTGCGCTACATCTTGTATTCAGTGACAATTACAAATAGCGAGAGAATCCAGCTATGTAAACTGATTTTTAAAACACAATGAAATTGTCAAACGCAACTTTGCAAGTACAAAGGATCTGTATTACGCTAAATTTTCCACTTCAAAAATGCTAAAGTATTTGTTCTGGACAATGTTTATGAAATATAACACACCATGGCACCTGTGTGCCATTTGCTGTATTTCAAAAGATCTGTTGATTTCAAGTATAAGAAAAAAAAGTTACTCAAAGGCGTCCCTGATGCAGAAAACTTTCAAGTTCACTTGCCTTCTTTCTAAGCAGGTGCAGTAGTTGAAGTTTTACTTTCCTGCACCAGTATTCTTTCTGTGGATTTTGAGTAGTGAGCCTCACTATTTTAAGGCCCTCAGAAGCACCAGTTTATCAAAGAAGCATTTGCACTTTAGGTGTGTATGATTGTTAACATCATTTATCAGACCATCTCAGGTTTTCTCAAACAGCACTATTGACATTTTTGGCCTGATAATTCTTTGTTTGGAGTGGAGGAAGTGGTTCTCTATACTGTAGCAGATTTGGTAGCTTTTATGGCTTTCATTGACTGGACAGTAGCACACATATCCTCTCTTGTTCTGACAACTGAAGAAGTCTTCAGACACTGCCAACGTCCCTTTGAATGGAAAGGATAGGAGAGGTTGACCAAACCCACCGCTGGATAAAACCACTATGCCAAAAGGAGCCAAAAGAATTTTTCATTCTGTTGTCATTTAATTGTCACGATAGGTAGCTTTTTGTATAACAAGACTTGAAATTATAAACTCTTAGAATTATTAGAAGAGACTGCAAAGCCCGTACACAACCACAACCCCAAATCATCTTTACCTATATGTTGATTTCTCCACCTACAAATTTATGGACAGGAGAGTGGAAGATTGATTGTCTCTAGGAACTTAGAAATTGGCTTTTGCATATTTAGGGATGAGGCCTTTTGGTAATTCTGCTTTGCTACTACACTCACCCTGGCAGCAGTTTGTGCATCCTTTGCTGGGACTCGACACTAAAGTCACACAGCTTCAGCATCTCAGATTTGCTTTGGGGAGTTATGTTTGCCATTGCACACATTATAAAATTTTGTTTCTTAGTCTTTGCCTCACTGTACATAGAAGTTGAAGCTGAGTACATCTAATTTTAAGTCTTCCTGAATGCTGTATTTGTATCTTTAATTCTTGCAATTTTTCTTATTCACATCACCAGAATATTCTCTTTTATGATCCAGTCAGTTTTGCGCTTAAAGCAGTTGTGGTAATACTGATTTATTTCATTGTTTTTCTATGGGAAAAAAATTGACTATCCTAAGTAACTGAAAATTGTAATGCAGAGTTGGAATACTTAAACTACCAAGCCAAAGTACATACTCATTTGATGTGCCTTATGTCAGTTTTCCTGTAGGGCCGGTGATTTCTTATGGATAACTCTGAATCCAATTAGTTTGTACTTGGGTCTGTTTTTTTGCACTGATTGAAAAACCTTATGAAGTTAATCAAAGACAGCCCCTTAAAAATATCCCCAAATCAACAGCAAACTCCCAACTGGAATATCAGGCCTCCATTTATTCCTTTGCTAAGACCAACTCAGATTTTAAAAGCATTCATAATTATTTACTACAAATTTACTAATATGGATACAAATTGAAAACATTAATCACAAAGTCTGTGACTATAGCATATTACAAAGTACACCCAGGGAAAGTTCTTGTAAGACAGTCATGGAAATCAGAAAAGTTCAACTGAGGAGACCCCCCACATGTTTGTATAATTTTCTACTCTACTCACTCTCACATCAACCTATTTGGTATTATGTCTTAAAGTTTTAAGTAAGCTGATCCTTTAGATGCATCTTTGGATTGGATCTGCCTAATTATTGCCTGGAATAATTTTTATGCCATCCAGGGCCCATTGCTCTTCAAATGGTTGTTACAGAGAAGCAAAATGGTAACTCTTAAAGTAAAAGCACATAATTTCTTAAGTCTGATTTTCCATTGTAAGTTGATAGAACACATTATCATTGGCTTCTTAATAGATTTTTATAAGTAATCAAAGAATGACCAGAAAAGTAAACTGCTCAAAACTTATTATTTTATATCAGTTTCTAGTTAATTCTTCACAATGAAAGATTCTATGTTAGTTTTTTACCAGAATAAAAGGCTGGAAAAAATTAAGTGCCAACCACAAGCTGGTTCCCATCTTTATCTGACTTATAATTTTACTAACATTTAAGAATTACTCAAGTTTTTTTCTCCTGGTAGAATAAAGTTTAAAAAAAATAACTTGTCAGATAGTGATTTTACATTCACTTTTATTCTAGTTTAAAAATTTCAATGACTTCCATCTGTCCCTCCAAGATTTGGATTTTTAACAACAGTCTCTCTTTTACTTGGCATTAAAAATACATATATTCATGACTTCACTAAAGTATCAGAACTGATCACACAGCTGTAAACTTTTCATACCTGTCAAATAAATCCATAGCATGAACTAATCTTAGAAGTTTGATGTATTGCAGGTGATGTAAACATAGTGGTGGGTGAAAAAGTTGATTTGTTGAAAAAATAAAGCACTAAATGTACTATTGGGTAGAGTTTTTAACTTCTTCAGAATATTCAGTGAGGATCAGCTCAGATTTAGGTTGCTTGGACACGCAAGTACTGGAGCACAGGTTCTCCAAAAGATGCTAAGAGACACGTGACATGTGGCACAGCATGTGTCCAATTAGTCTATAACAAAAAAAAAAAAATAGTCTATAACCCAGCCACTCCACCTCTTCTATGAAACCAGTCTTGATGCCACTGAGGCCCTTAATCTAGAGATCTGGGTTACTTATTATTTTCAAAAAGAAACTTACCATTTATTTCCCTTTAACTTAAAAAAGGCATTATCATATTCTTTGGTTTCCTTTACCAGAGACCACGAGCCAACCAACCCCAAAAAGGCAACAAAATAAAATAAAATAAGATTAATTTTCCCAAGGGATAGATAAGAAAGAACACTTTCATCTGTCAGCCCAGAGCTGCATCTCTGTGAAGTTTGATGATCTCAGGATCCGGGCCACAGCGCCATTGTCTAGACATTGCGGTGGTGTCTGCACAGCCGTTTGTAAAATGGTTTGAACAAAAACATGCTCAGATTGTCATATTCGGAGCAGGAGGTAAAAAAAAATCAAATGTCTTCCATACTCCTCTGAAAAGAACATTAAGAGAAATCAAAGCTTCTCCTTGCCAAGAAATGTTAAAATCATTTTAGGAAAATCAATTAAGTGTCTGTAGACACAGACATCTATCTTGTGTACACTGTAACTCGGTCTTTCTCGGCGTCCTCGCCTAGAAGTGGCGGGAGTCTTTTCATTGGCTGGTCAAAACAAGTATCTCATTTGCCTGATTTGAGGCATTTGGACAGCGCCTGGGAAGTACATTAATTCCACTAGAAAAAAGAGACAGTCTTTTTCGCATGCCAGCCGAGATCATGGGAACTTCAAATGCCAAGAATGTAGTGCTGTTTCTGGTAATTCTGCTTGCAGTCATTTCAGATGTTGGAGGCTGAAAAAGCTGAGCAACCAGGGAGGTGTTGGGGGGAGGGGTGCCGTCCCTGCTTTCTGCCAGTTGCACTATTGCACAGAATATTCGTAATGTGTTTGGAAGTGCATATAATTGTACTCTTTGTCAGAATTACAAAGCTCACTGTGGCGCTGCTCTAAGAGAACACTGAGGAAAATCTGACCCTATAAAACGCAGTCAACACCAAACAAAAGGAAAGCTTGTGTGGTGGAGCACAGTCCTTTTCTCACTATTTCTGAAAGCTCTATCTACCCAACCAAGGACGTGTCTGTCTTTCCGGTGAAGGTTAATTTTGTAAAAGTTTTTCCAAAACTTCTTTAATACAAGGCTTGGAAAACTGAGCATTCTGAATTTCTTCCAGTCCTCTGGGCATCACTCCTGTTCCCTCTGCTGTGTCAGCGAGGCATTCCAAGGCTGCCTTCTGTCATCTCAACACACACATACTTCACAGTGACCTTACATCAGGTGGACCTGAGCTTGCAAATGTAAAAGCAATTGTATGTGCATGTACACTGATGGTGTGGGAGAATAAAAGCTGTGTACCCTCGATTGGAACCTTTCATTCAAATTCAGCAATTCAGATGTACATACTTCTGTAGTATGATTAGTATTTTCACTGAAAGTTTGATGATCTAAGCTTGAATATATTTCCTCGCAGTCCATTAATTGGCCTTTTATCCTTTACCTGGGGATCATTATGGCTGCAATAATTCATTCATGTTTTCTTCACATAGCTTCTTTAAGGTTTTCTGCAGTGACTCAGGTTCTGCCTTCTGTGTGTGGGAGATCTTTCTTCTTTTCTGCTTCCTAATAATTATTTGATGAGAAATCCAGTGTATTGACTGTCACCGAGACACAATACATGTCTTAAGGTGTGGAGAGGGGTGGTGACCAAATGTTACCTGTTTTCCTGCTGTTGATTGCTACTTTCAAATTAAATCATGCTTTTTCACTTTCAGTTGGAGTCAACAAATTTGGGATATTTGAAGGGGGAAAAGGGAGCTATTTGTGTAACAGCGCTGTCATATTTGGCTACATATTAAACATAATAAATGAGCATTTTGTTTTAATTTCTCAAGTATCTCTAACCCTTATCTGTCAACATATTTGTGTCTCCTTTCCCTCATTAGTCTTCAAACACATTTTATCCACTGCAGAAGAAACCCTGTGTACAGAGTCCAGAGCCACAAGGCTATTCACATGTTATTGTTCCTAAACCTGCTCTGGCATGGGGACCAAAGCCAACAAGAGTGAACCACAGAAAACAAAGGCTTCAGGATGTCCCAGCATGCAACTGGGTGGAGGCAGTTCCCTGCCCCCAACCACAGTGCCCAGGTGTTGTATTCTGCATCACACAGATGGGATTTTAGCTGCCACTTTAAATCCTAGAGTTTGAAGAAGTCAAAGTGCTTCTGTTCTGCTCTGGCCTCTGGTGTTAGTCCTGCTATATGAACTCCCCATTATTCCATCCCCCTTTTCTCAACTTGGAAATGATTATACCTTTTTCTCAGGGCCTTGGACGTGTGCCTCCAGAACTTCTGTGGAATGTGTGAAGTGAGATGTTTTGATTCCAGATGTCCCTTCTCTGTTTTCTCCTTCACCTTTCTGGGACTGTCCTCTTTAACAACACCAAGTACACACAGACCTGAACCCAGGATCGAGAAGCACACACGGTGCCCAGAGCTGTCTGGGTCTCCAGGCAGTGGCATTTCCTGAGCAATTGCTCTATGCAATTCAGTGATGATTTTTTCAATCTTAATCTCTGTATGGATCTTTTGGACTGCGTTGCTTAAACTTTGATATCATGGAGTAAATTCAGAATTTCAATTTTAAATGGTGTGAATTGTCTTTATGATGCCCAAAAGGAAAAGTTATTAATGTAAATCATGCAAATTTCCCCACTAACAGAAAAACATTAAGCCAATGCTTTAAACAATCATTTAGTATATTCCATTTCTTTATATACTGCAGAGGAAATGAACCTGAATGAGAGACGTTAAAGAACAAAGATGTTAATAACAGTTGTACAGCTTTTAAATTAGCTATCATTATAAATCTGAATACAGGTCTCCTCCCTTCTCCCCTGCCCCAAATCAGTTTCCAGAACCAAATTCTTCAGACATACATTCATACCATTCACTTGGTTTATTGTGTCAGATGTTTATGAAATGACTACTCTGTACTAGGCAGTGTGCTTGATTGCTACAAAACAAGAAAAAGAAAAGAGAGAGTGAGTCAGTCTTTGCTTTCACTTAATCAAAAGAGTAGTGGAAAAGACTAACATCTTAAAATATATACGGTAAATCAAGCAGTACCGGTCCCTGGGAAGGAAAGAAATACTTAGTTCAGTGAAATCACAGGAAGAAAGAGTTAATTCTGTGTGGAAAGACAAGGACCTCATAAAGTGAGTGGTATGTGGCTTGCTCTTAACAGATGAGGAGGTCTTCCCCATGCACAGGCATCCCAGGGAAAAGAGGGTTATGAGTACAGGGACTGAGCAAGAAAACAAGGCAATCAGGGATGGAGAGGGGCTGAAGCCAGAGAGTTAGGCTCTTCATGATGTTTAGGACCTCACAGTTTACCTTCAGAGCAATAAGCACATGCCAAAGCTTTGAAGCAGAGAACCCAAGCTCTCCAAGAAAGACCTCCCAGTAAGCAGAGAAATGGATAAATGACATGGTGGAAATCTGGGCAACCCCTCTGGAGGGGATTGCTTAAATCTGGCTTCTGCTTCATAACAGTGAGTCCTGGAGATTGAACCCAGGGCCTTCTCCCTGAGATATATCCGCAGCTCTCATTTATTATCTTTTTATTTTGAGACAGGGTCTTGCTAAGTTTTCCAGACTGGGCTCAAACTTGTGATCCTACACAAGTACTCCTATTTGTTGTTTTCTAAAAACCCATGATGTTGCAGACAATGAACACCACTTAAAGTAGAAGTTAACATTCCTCATTCATGATGATCAAACTAGAAAATGACCCTTATGATCTATTTACTTTGGGTCATTATAGACATAATCAATAAATTATTCAGGGGCTTGGGTGGAGAGATTTGAATTTAAACTGTGACCCCTTGAAATGATGACCTAACAGTTCCTTCTTTCTTTCCATCCTTCTTTAGGGTTAGTACTTAATCCATCAAGTTGTCCTCTGAATTAATGAATTAGTAAGTGCCCAGTCAAAAGTGTCAATAAAACTCAGCAAATTTAGACAGCTAAAGTAAGGAATTGGAAAGGTCAAAGGATTCCATCTTAAAATGGGAACCAAAGACACTGCGGAGCCACCACTGTGGGGACAGTCAAATAACTGTAAAGGGCAGAACTAGACTTCAGATCTTCAGATCCCATGGAGAGTTGAATGCCAAGAATGACAGAAACTAAAGACAAAGTCTCCAAGATTCTAGAGGATTTCAAAGAGTGAATTCAAACTGCTGCTGAATAATTTGAAAGAAATCAAACTGCTGCTGAATAATTTGAAAGTATGCCCAAGTGCTTCAGAGCTGCAGGGCTCCCTGGGGAAGCAGATAAACACCTGGTTTAGTCATCAGGGAGACTGTGAAGATGTTGGTTACAAAGGAGGCCAACCGGCTCCCATGACCCTGGCTCTGTGTTCAGAGATCACAGCCTTGTAGTTCAAGTACATTTGTGCTTCAAGACAGGAAGTGTGGCTTGTGCCTCAGAGATGTGAGGAGCTGGTTGTAAGAGCAGATGCTAACAAGTTTGTGATATTCCTTTAGGCTCCCTTTCACAGGGAGCAGATTTCAGAAGTACACCCCACTACCCGGGGGTGGAGCATGAACACAGAAAGGAAAGATGACAGTGCAGACAGAGTGAAAAAATAAACATGCAGACAGGGAATTACGCCTTAGCTGATGCTTCCCCGATCCAGTTAGTGAGTACTTTAAGAAATGTCATTTACATATCTACTTCTCCAAGTCTAATCTAAACATTGAGCAATTATAGATTTTGGAAATTTCAAGAATGTGTCAGAGAGAGAAAACCAAAAAGATTCCCATAGAGTTTTCACCTTCAGGTTATATGAAAACCCCAGTCCTCAGCTAATAGTGATAGACATTATTTTCGTAAATTGTTACCCTCTGAAGACAACTACTTCACTTGGCCTCCTATAGTAAATGCACCCTAGAAATGCCAACAGCTCTTGATAAATGTTAATTGACCCCTTTTAAATGTGTATTACTCTCCTGACTGCAACAAACTTTACTTACAGACTTTAAACTTCTACCAGGTAGTATCGTGACTTTTTTGTGTGGCAAACTTTACAAACCTTTCCAGGCTGCAGAATCACACTGGGAATTTCTTTTTCTCCTGAATTTTTTCTGTACATTGAAATTTAGATAGCTCTCCATAAAAGGATTCAGTCTGGTATGAACCTTAATAGAGTGGGAACCAAAATTTCTCCTGCTAGACCTTGGCTGTAAGCCTAGAAGACGAGCTGCATAAATCATTCTAAATGCCACACAGCATCCTATTTATTTCTACAGTGTTTTGAGTCTGCACCAGGATGCTTGAAGTGAGATAATGAACAAATGAGAGTACAGTGCAAGGAAGAAAAACTGATTTGCAAAAAAGAAGAAGCATCCCTATTGTAAAAGTGTGTCATTTGGAGTTTAATTAGATGTCATTTTGAAAGACGTATGTTATTTGAACAAGACCAGATCCCAGCAGGTTAAACAGCAATAGCACAAATAGAAGAAGAACATTTGTTAGAAAGAAAAGTTAAAAGCTGACTTTGATATCCCATGAGACTCTCCAGTTGCAGATGAGTAGAAGGACTCTGGTGAGGAGTAGGGTGTGTGGAGGGGAAGGAGCTCTGTGGATTTCTCCTAGCTTTACTTTACAGTCTGATGTAAACCTTTACTGAGACACTGGGATGGGACGCTTGCTTCACACAAATTGCCCCAGTCAGTTTGGTTTCCTTTCCTTTCCCAAACTACAACAAATAACTGACCTAGCATCCATCACTCTGAGGCATGGAAACATTCAGTGCCTACTAAAACCAGAAGGAAGGTGTGACTGTGGGTACCTTTTGCCCTTCTCATAAACATCCAACCAGGATCCCTACATTATAAAGACCTGACCAAGGAACACCTGCTCTCCAGCTTCCTGTGTCAGTTTCTGGAGACCAATTTTCTTTCTCCATCAATGTGACAACTAAGGGGATGAGTTCTGTGACAAGGTTTGACTGACCTCTGAAAGACTAGTTTCATTATGCATGAAATGATGGTAAAAGTAGTATTTCCTTCCAAGGATTAGGATGATCAGAAATACTTAGGTTCATGTTTGACCTTAATATTTAGTAACAGCTATGCTGTCGTTATTTTTGTCTGGGAAGGACTCATTGATTAATAATGAAAATGCTCTCCTACTGGGTAAGAAGATTATTTTAAGGCAAAAACAAAGGGGAATAATTAACTGGAGGGATAGATTGCAAAATAAGCAGTTAAAACTAGAAACTGCACGGGTGGGAAGCCACGTCCCTGATACTCTTATTCCTCCTCCCTGAGAATTGTTTTTCTCTATCATCTCAGTCAATATGAGCATTTCCTCATTCTAATATATGCAAAAGCCAAAAGGAGGGAGCTTAAAAATCTTCAGTGGTAGAAAATTAAGTACTTAAACACAAGTCAATACTAGGAACTAATAGTGGTTATAGATATAAAGAAGTACTTCCCTTCTATCTGTTTATAATTTCTGGTTCTACAGAAAATAAAAATAAAATAAAATAATGATTTTGAGTTCTGTTGTTGTTGCTGCTGTTGCTATTGTTGTTATTAAGACAAGGTCTTCCTACATAGTTCAGGCTGACCTTGAACTCACTAAGTAGCCTAGGCTGATGTCAAACTTGTGGCAATCCTCTTGCCTCAGCCTCCCCAGTGCTGGGATTGCAGGCATGCACGATGAAGCCTGACTGGGTTTCATTTTTAAAAATTTGCCATGTGTCTATATCAAATTTATTTGTTTGCAAACTGAGAAAAATATTTCCACTATATCTCAAAGTAGTTTAAAATAAAATCTGTGCAATATAAAATGTTTTAAGCTTGTGAAAACAAGGTTTATA